AACCCTAAACCCTGAACCCTTCCCAAACGGTCCTGGCGGTCTGGCTGGTCTGGGCCGACCGTCGCCTCGGCGGCCAGAAGGGAGATCTCCTGGCCGGGACATCCCTCTATAATATTAGGGTTTAGGGTTTAGGGTTTAGGGTTTAGGGTTTAGGGTTTAGGGTTTAGGGTTTAGGGTTTAGGGTTTAGGGTTACTGTTACTTCTACTATGACTATTACTATGAGTACTGCTGCTGTTAATATTAACAGTCATATTAACCTTGATATTAGTATGTATATTGATACTTGTATTAAGAAAAATAGTATTCATTTGTTAATATTAAAACAATATTGTAGTACTTTTGGCTGCTGTTGCTATTGTTATTGTCATTGATATTGTTATTGTTATTGTTATCTTCTCATTTTACTATTCATATCAGTGCTAGTATTCCTATGGTTTTCTTCTTCTCTTCTTCTTATTTTTCGTATTCTTTATTCTCATGATATGATTACTATTCTTATTACTACTACTTGTATTGTTATTCTCATTATTCAACACGACAGGCAGTAGCTTGTGGCCTTGATCAGCTTCTTCCGGATCATCGAAGAAATCTGGCAAGAAGCGCGCGTGCTTTCGACACGACAGGCCTCACAGCACCCTTGAGAAAAACATCAGAGCCTCTTGGAGCTCGGCCATGTGGTCCTCATAGCACCCGAAGCAAGCTTTGAACATTCACAAGGACAGCTTCCCTAGCCCGATGCTCTCCAAAGATGCTTCGGTACAGGCTTCATCTGCCCTCAAGACAAGCCAGCCTCTGGGACATTGCGATCTCCCAGTCCAGTGATGTCAGCCTGGATCCCTATGAGATACCAAAGCTCCTGGCAGTGCGGACAGAAGGATCATCTGAAAAGTAGCGGACTCGAAGAGGCCTGGAGCAGAATAGCTATTGCAGCTATTAGTATCTCACTTGCTTGGACTTTGGTCACCCTCGAAGCTGAGCTCCTCATTGGTTTCCACATCCGTCGCAATAGTCAGGCCCCGCAAGTCCAGAAGATTTATGAACCTCACGTCGTCCCGCCATGTCCCGCCACCGTAAGTCAAGGCAGCCCAGCAGTCTTCAGCGAGATGGGTTCCCGACATCTCTCCCGACTTCTTGCGATTCGGGAGAAGCGCCGTGAAGGCACAGCCACGTTCACTGGCAAGGGCATTTGGATGCACATAAACTTCCCATGTCTTGAAAAACCACAGATGCGCGCATGCCGCATCGCCAGTCCTAGCCTGGCGAGTCTGAGACCAACCAGATCCGACGGCGAGATGGGGCCTGCAGGACAAGCTTAAAGAAAAGCCTCCAGAAGATCAAATCACGAGCACTTCTTGGACAGACGTTGAGGCCCGGACACCCCTGATTCAGGAAGCGGCAATTGGCCCCAAGTATCTCACTCCTCAGGGCTCGAGAAACAGTAACACGCCAGAGTCAGATGAAGACCTCCAGGAGCGAATGCAAAGGTCCTCTTGAAGCCAGTCATGTTTTCGAAGGCTTCCGAGACGGCAATGAGGGGGAAATCTTTGCCTGAGCCGAGAGCTGTGGTACTTCAGAGCCACGACCTGGACTGAGGCCGCAGCCACGCGGGTCTGCAATGGTCACGCAGAATTTGCATGACGAGACCTGAGATGATCTAGCAAGGACACACAACCCTTTAGTGGCTGTTACCATACATCTAAGACCTCAGAAGCTACATGCCGATGCGTTCCCCGCAAAAGCTCCCAACTGCTCCTTGTATGGCTTTCTTCACGATCGCTTGGTTCACCTGAAGATACACGACAGCATGCTTCGCAACAGCAGGTGTCGGGTTCTTAGTTCAGGACCACATCGGAGATGATGGCGTCGATGTCTTCCTCACAACTTCACTTCATCCGACCGTTGCCAGCACCGAACACAACATTCACCACCCAATGGCACGCAAGCAAAGCTGACAAGAGACACCGACGAGCCCTCAAACGAACCAACTTGCAATCCCAACAGATCGCATCTCCAGCACGTGCAGGAGGGGAAGGAGACTACTCCCAAGCCAGGGCTCTGTGAGCTGGCGCCCACCAGACTGCTCCAGTGAAACGGAGACCTGCCACACGGAGATTCCCCCTGCTCGACATGGAGGTTTCCGAAAATAGGGGACCCTAATATAGTACCCTAAATAATAGGATCCTTATTATAAGGACCCCCAAAATAAGGTACCCTAATTTTCAGAAACTCCCACATGTCCAGTCTGCAGAATTTCGCGCAACTGGAGAGCCCGACCCCTTCATTGAAAGAGTGCATAAACGCCGATGTCTCCATTGGAGCGCAAACCTTTTTTTTGTCTGCTAGCGGAGAAAGAAGGATTAATCTGACATTATTATTATGATCTAACAAAACAACTATGACATAACTATACACTTATGATATCATATAAGTATGATATCCGTATGATATGACTACATTTATAATATACGACATAGGACATAACTCTTCTCCCGGAAAGCCCTTTTGCTTAGAGCTGCTTTGAAAGTCGGCCTTTGGCTTCCAAGCCATGGGCGGCATCGATTCCTCGACCTCGTCGTCCTCGGGCACCTGCGAGGGTGGGGTTTAGGGTTTAGGGTTTAGGGTTTAGGACTCAGGGTTTCAGGGTTTAGGATTTCGGATTTTAGGGTTTGGGGGGGCCATCAATTCCTGAGGTGGTAAAGCAGGGCAGCTCGAGGCTTTCATCGGAGCTACGACGGGAAGCATTCAACACCTCAGCATCTTCAGACCGAGTGACATTTGCCCTGACCGACTGCAGGCATCTGCCGCCTAGAGCTTCCCTGGAAATGCCCACTCCGACCAAACCACCGGTTTCCAAGAGGCGATGCAATCTGCTGCCTTGCTGCGCCTGATGTTCCATGGCTGGTGAAAGGTTTGCAAGGTCGACGGCGCAGCCTCTTTTGGCTGCACGTGACTCCACCAGCTGCCTTTGACAACTGGGATGACAGGATGCCCGGATCAGCGCTTGTTCCAGGCGTGCCCTGCACGACGGCCAGCTCTCCCGGCCCTGGCGACAGTCGCAACTGTATCGGAGCACTGCGACCGAGACCACAGCTGACTTCATGTATCCGTTAAGTGCCAGGTTCATGGTGCACAGAAACTTGCTGTGCAAGGACAATCCATGGAGGGGCCAGGGACAAGCTTAGCACTACTGCAGCAGCTATGCTACAGCATCACCACAACACCAGCCACCCTGGAACTAGGCCACCGGCAGGTGAGAGAGTCTTTGACGAGTGTCCTGGCAAGAAACTACAAGCGTGAAACTGGCCTCTCGTCCCCTTCGTCCCCTGTGATAATCCCATTTAGCACCATGATGACGAATTTTCTTGATTGGATGCCTGTGGCTATTAGCACCAAGCAGTTTTGGTAAATATCGGTCTGGCTCACTTCTTTGTTGAGCTCGGAAACCGTGAAGCACAGAGCTCGGCGCTTCGCACTGCAAGCCGCCAAAGGCCCTGGGGTGCCCTCCGTTGTTTAGGGCTTTTGAACTGGTCTCACCGGCGCATGGCCGCACGCTTCACGGCCTCCACCGCCTGGAAGCTCAGGGCTTTGAGGCTCCCCCGGTGAACTCCCTCGGTTTAGGGTTTAGGGTTTAGGGTTTAGGGTTCAACAGCCTGGCGCAGGCTCCGTGCGGAGGCTGCAGCCGAGGGCGCTCCAGCGGCGAGAGAGAGGTCCTCAGAGTGGCTCAGCCATTCCAAGCCCAACCCCCCTAACGACATGATGGCCCACGACCCCCCGCCTCGCGGAACATGCCACGGCTACGCTTTCCCGTGTCGTCCTCCGCTGCTTCGCGGATGAGCCTCAAGGGGAAGAGTGCTCAGAAGCTGTCACGGTGTCAGCTTCAGACATTGGGGCAAGGATGGGAAAGGCCTCTCTGGTCAACTTACAGCCACAGCATATCTTTCTCTTTTCGGTCCTGTTAATGTACTTCTTCCTGAAGCTGATTGCAATGGCGAAGGCAATCTCTGCACTGAACTGACAGCTGTGCCTTAGCATCATGCTGTCCATACCACCCACAGGTCTCCTCAGCTTGCAAAGAGCCCACGCTTCACTGACCTGCGGCATCATGCCACCATGCTCGCCCTCTGCAGCAAGCCCGTGCATGCCAAGCCGCGGAACCCAAACCGTGCGGCAAAGGCGCTGCTCAGCTGCAGGAAGAACCTGAAAGGCATGTACCACTCGCCTCGCAAATGGCTGAACGATGCTGAACGGCATCTCAGAAAGGTGCGTTGCCGGGATCATCATCAACGAAAAGAACCTGCCAGCAGCAGAAGACGAGAGAACCCACAGGCACACAGTGGTGCAAGGCAAGGGGAAGTGCTTTGTGAAACCAACGCGAGCCTGCCATGCAGAGAGACCATCCCTGCGCCGGAGTTCTTCTATGATGCGGTCCTAGCTGGGGCTCTCACGTCCATTCACAAGTCAGAGGAGCCACCCCCATGGTCCGGAACCCGCACCTTTCTGCCCTGCTTCGCCTCCGACAGCGGATGCTCCCTGCCGATGACCTGTACGGAACAGTCCAAATCTCCGTGACTGGGCTCACTGGACGGCTCTACTCGAGAGCCGGCCTCTGCGAAGAACTTCCGCAGTCCACCCTTGGCTAGAGCTGCATCGACCACGTTCCCAAAGCCCGTGGTGATCACGATGACCTTTCGCCTCGGCGTCTGCCTCAGCAGGAAGTGATGAACCAACGTGCCCTAGTGAAATCAGTGGTGCTTATGCAGCTGTTCACCGACAGCGACAAGCTGCAACAGGCTCTGGAAGAAGCTCCTCAACTCCTGCAACCTTCCAGGCCCGCCGTAGATCCTGACACCCGAACCCTCACTAGTCATCCCTAAACCCTAAACCCTAAAAACCCAAAGCCCTAAGCCCTAAAAATCCATGACCCTAAACCTTAAAAACCCTAAAACCCTAAAACCCTGAAACCCTAAAAACCCTAAAAACCC